GGACTACCACCACCCTCTGCAAAGACCTCTCCCACCTAACCATGGACCTGAAGGAGACAAGACTTCCCTGCCTCTCCTGCGACCCTGGGCCTTCCTGATGTGATGACACTGAGGCCCCAGAACCAGGGGCCAGGCAGGCTGGAGTCCTGCCCCACGGTGGGATGTGGTGGGGTGGGGGGAGGACAAGGGACACACAGGCTGTTCTGTACTTTTGTACGGACGACATAGGCTTTGTAGCCCAGGACACTGACTTGGCTTGGCTGTCCCACACTATTGGGGGTACAAGTTTCCAGCCACCTCTGAGCCTCAGAGTGACTGATGGAGAAGGGGAGTGACACAGGAGCAAGTGCCCAGCCCAGCCGTTTGAGGCCTAAACAGTATTAATTGAGGATTTAATTGTTCCATAATCGCTGGTCCACTGATCATGCCTCATGCCCAGGGTGCCAGCAGAGTTCTGCCACACTGACACAGGGCTGTCCCTGGCAGCCAGTCTCGGGGTGGGGGTGGCGGGCCCTTCCTTAAGGATATCAGGTGGGTGCAGTCCAGCAGAGCCTGGGTCATGCTGCATACAGGACAGGACAGGACAGGACAGGACAGGGCAGGGGCCCCTGGAGGAGCTGGTTAGGGCAGGAGGCCTTGGTCTCCTGGGAAATGCAGGCTAAAAAATCTTTTGAAAGAAGCCAGGCATGATGGTTCACACCTATAATCACAGCTATTCAAGAAGTGGAGATCTGAAGTATTGTGGTTTGAGGCCAGCCTGGTCAAAAAGTTAGCAAGACCCCATCTCAATCAACAAACTGGGTGTAATTAGTTTTATCCATAATGCCAGCTACCCAAGAAGCATAGGTAGAAGATCGAGGTTTGAGGCTAGCCTTGAGCAAAACCAGGAAACCCTACCTGAAAAATAACCAAGGCAAAAAGGGCTGGGGTATGGTTCAAGTTTCAGAGTGCTTGCCTAACAAGCTTGAGGACCTGAATTCAAACCCAGTACCGCCAAAAGAAAAAAAAATCTTTTTTTCTAATGGTAGGAGAATGTAAAACCCAGTGCATAAGAAAACGAAACCCTGACAGTTCGTACATTCAAAAGTAGTTAATTCTATGCGATTGGGTTCGATTATTATCTTCCTCTTTATATTCCTGTACTCAGCACATGTTTAACCACTAGCATGCAAAACTGAAAATCGCAGGAAGTAGATGGCATTTAAGACCAAATGAAATGGCTGCAAGGATTTCTCTTGAATTCTTTAAAAAAAATAATAATAATAATCTGAGGGGCAGCTCCGTGGAAAGAGGTTGTGTTCCAGGTGCCACTAGCTGCGGTCTCTCCACCAAGACACCCAACTTCTGTCCATCCAGAGTCCTTATCTATCCACAGGCATCACACCCCACCTCTCATCTCCGAATGAGGGAGATAAAGGATGGAGGGCGCTGAGCTCAGAGTCCCTGGCTATTCTGTACTTACAGTGTTCCATCCTGGAGTAAGGGTGGGGCGTGTGAGAAGGAGGGAGTCTGTTCAGGTTGCTGGGGCTCAGGACCCCCCAGCCCCAGGTCCCCTCTTCCTCCCAGGCCTAGAGCTGCTTGATTTCCCCCCTTGAGAGCCTCCCTGGCCACCCCCTCCTGTCACTGCCTCCTGTCACCACCTCCTATTACTCTAATGGGAACCAATCTTCCTCATCTCAGCCCCATTACCACCCACGGAGACCAAAGGGCTGCAATTCTGTCAATGCCAGGAGGCGGCTGGCCAGCTCCCCGGTCATTGTTCCTAATGTCACAGAGAACCTGAAGTGGGGGGTGGGTAGCCCGTGGGAGCCAAAGCAAGGCTGCAATTACAAGCCTATTCAATTCTAGAATAAAGCCCTGTCATTAGCCAGTGGGAGGGAAGTGGGAAAGAGGCAATGCCAGCCCCTAGCCTCTGGGGAGACAGCCTGCAGGGCCACCTGAGGGCAAATCACCGTGGTGGGCTTGGGCTCTTTGCCTATGGCTGTGTGGGGAGCCAGGCTCAGAGGAGCTCACAATCAACCTGCCAAGCCCCTCATCCTCCCTCCCCTTCACAGGCTTCCCACTTCCTGGTGGGCTCCAGACCCAGGGATAGCTTCTCCTGGGCCGGCTGCCTCTTAGGGAGCCAGTGAGGGGCTCTCCCGGCACCACCCCGCTCCCTTAGGCTGAGGGTAGGCCTCAGACTAAAACAGCTGACCAGATAAGTCCCCTCCTCCCAGGGATGAACCCAGGGGATCAAGGAAAGGGACCCTGCTGGCCCCCTGCAGTGTGGAATGGGGACAGAGAGGGAATAGCAGGAGCAGAGGAAGGTGAGGGAGCTCCCCAGGCCATGGGTGGGGGGCACTTTGGGATCTGATGGACTGGTTTCAGGTTCACTATGGAGGTCTCCTGTAGAGACCAATTAGCTGGTCACCAGGAGCCCTCAGAGGAGGTCATGATTTGGCTGGAGACCCGGCTGAGCTGTTGAGGGGTGGCCCAGAGGGTTCTGTGACCCACTCATCCTGTGCTATCCTCTTAGCCTGGTCTTTGACTTTGACTCATTCTTCTAGATGAAGTCCTGGGAAAGTTCGGGTCATACTCTTTGGAGGAGGGACACCTGGATCAGGGAAAGGAATAATAAGTGCTGAAAGGGCTGTTGACAGGATGCTGAGAGTCGAGCAGATGGACTGAAGGACAGACAGATGCAGTGTAGGGCAGCCCAGAAAACATCCAGGGACCTCTTCCCAAAGAAGGCAGGAAACTGACATCAGACAAACAGAAACACGGGCAAAAACAGGCTCCAGGAAACTATAAACCAGACAAACAGACAGACAGGACGATCTTGTAATAACTAGGAGCTAGTCACAGCACGTAAAGCCCTGCGTGGCCTTGGGGGCATCTCCCTGCCCCGTGCAGAGGGGAGACTGCCCTCCAGGAACATTCCAGAGAATCTCCCACCTCCATTCTTCCCTCCAGAGCACCTCCAGTTCCAAGTGCAGCTCCTTCACCTCCAAGGGGGAGGGTAAAAGCCTTGTGGGACTAAGATAACAGAGGTCCTAGGGTCCATTTAACCTTGACGTGACTCTTTGCAGCTCCAGCCTGTTCCGGGATTAGAGGCAGTGCCCCTCCCCTGTCCCTGCACGCACCTACCTTCTTGAAGCTACTGCTCATGCCAACCCCTCCCAGCCCTTCCCACCCACAGCCATCAGGGGGATCGACACTTACGTGGAGGGGCCAGAGAACCAGGGGAAGATCATGACAAACTCAAGGGAGATCCCTGTCCCTGCCCGGCCCAAGCACTGAGCACTGAGCTGAGTAGAACTGATGGGGAAGGGAAGGCAAATCTCTCCTCCCCTGGGCATGAGTCTGAAGGTGAGCGGTCACAGGAGGGAGCCAGGACCAGCCTGCCTCATCCTCCTGAGGCATCCTCCATCCTCCCAGAGCTCCACCCATTTCCTGTCCTCTTTCCTCTTCTCGACTTTTTCTTTCTTCCTCTTCTCTTCCTCCCTTAATTTCCACGTGAGTTGTTTTCACTTTAGAGTATCCTAATGCACCACTGGATGGGGGTCTTCATAAGCTCCAAGTGTGACCTATTTGTCTATCAAGACAAATCGCTGGGCCTGGCCCCAAACTTGGCCAAGAGACCACTCAGAGCAAGGACACTGCACTCAGTCCTTACCTTTGCCCTCCAAGTTGGTCAGCCTCAGGGAGCTCCCATCTCTCCCTCAATCCTGGATTTAAGGACCCGGAAGGCACACCCCATCTTTTGGGCCCACCTCCTATAGTCCCTGCCTCAGAGCCCTGCCTCTTTCTCTGACCTTCGCTGATGGGAGGTCGAAAACAAGTAGTGATTCCTTTCAGGAGCTGCTTTTCTGTACCAAGGGCAGCAGCCACCACTTCTGAAAACCATCTAGTTATTTCCCAAGGAAGAAAGGGGGAAGATTACAGAATCACTAGATCTTAAATGTGTAAATGGTGAGCTTTGGAAGTCCAATGCTCCAAGTTTGAGTGCAGGCATCAGTACTGTGTGACCATGGACAAGTCCTTGAGTGTTCTGACACTCCCCCTCCCCTCACACAGGCAGGGATAATAACCTACTTGGTCTGAGCAGCCCAGAGGTCAATGACATTAGGTAAATGCTAGTTCTAGACAGACCAACCCATCCCACTATACAGATGAGGAAACTGAGGCCCAGGAGAGTGAAGTAACTTGTCCAAATTCATTCATCGTCAGGAGACTGGAGACAGAACGCACTTCAGGCCAGTGAAGTAGAGAACAAGTCAAGAAAAGAGAAATGGAAGAAGAGAACAAGGGGACAGAGACTAAGAAGAGAGGAGAGTGATGTGGGGGAAGGAGGGGAATGAAGAAACACCAGGGTGGAGAGATGGAGAGGCACTGGAGGGACAGCGTCAGAGGGAGGGACAAAGAAAGGGGGAGGACAAACCAATCACCCAGGGAAAATGAAGTCAGGGCTCAGGACAGGGACACCAGCCTGTCTTGTCAACTCTGCCCCTTCCTTCCCAGGATGTCAGCCTGCTCAGCCAGGAGAGAGGAATCCATAAAATTAAAGTCAGTCTCCTTGGCTCCTTTACGGAGGGAGAAAGATTAGAAAGAAAATGTGAATTTTACCTAGAAGAGGAAGGCCAGGTACTGGGGAATGGGTTGAGCACCCAGTGAATCCAGATGCCCACTAGGTGAAATATTTATATACAGATCATAAAATTCATGTCCCTTGACATTTGCCAAAATTGTATTTTACACGAGCTGTTTAGAAGGAAAAAGCATAGGTCTGGGATTGAAGCGGCAGGTGTAACCATCTTAAATTTGGGAATGGCTCATCTGGGTCTGGAGGAAGGAAAGAGAAATGGAAGGAGGAGGAAGGAGAGGGAAAGAAAGAAACAAATAAACAAATAAACCCACATAAGACTCAGGAAGGGAAGAAATAGCATGGTGAGTGCTGTGTGCTCTGCTCTGAGAGGAAGGAAGATGGGTGTGGGAAGGGAAGTAGGGTCACCAAGTCGCACCTTTGGGAGGCCAGGTCGGAGCAGGCAGGCTTCTGCTCGGTGTCAGCAGCTGGGCAGCAGAATTGGTGCAGCACAGTCTCATTCCTGTGGGCAGAGTGGAGGAACAAGGTCAGAGTGTGGCCAGGCAGCCTGAACCCTGTTCTGTGGGGCACTAAGCAACCCACCTGGAAACCTGCTGCCCTTTCCCTGCCATGGGAGCCCCTGTGGAACCCTGCTCTAGGGAAGTGTGCAGCATTGACCCCCTGTGCCCCCTTCACATGTGCAGAGGGCTCCCTGGCCACACTGGAGGACCTGCTCTGTACTTGTCCACTCCATCCCTGCAGGAAGCTCCTGCCCACAGAACTGTCATTTTTTCCCTTCTTTTATTGCAATTATTTCTTTATGACCCTGCTCCCTGCGAAGATCCTTCAAAGCCTGTTCACTCCAGGTCTGTTCACTCAGGATGCGTGCAGTTAACATCTTTGAGCCGATCATATGTAAAGACACAAAGCATGCACACAGAGCCTTCACTGTTGCCACCTACAAGTCCAAGATATGGTGCTTGATGAGGGATCTGTTTGATGTAGGTGAGAAAGCCCACACCCAGGTAGCAGAAACTGGGTTCCAGCTGTTCGCCGGCTGTGTGGCATGGAGTTCTCCTTTCCTGCCTCAGTATATTTGCTTTACTGAAATACACCCCCTCTTTATTGCAGTCAGGGGGTTGAACTAGAGAAGTAGCTCTCAACCCTAGCTGTACACTAAAATTACCAGAAAAATTTAAAATATTCCTGAATCTTGCCCCAAGGGGACTCTTGAGTCATGTGGTCTAGCAGCAGTCCACTTTCTTTTATTTATTCCCTTTTTTTATTTTTTCTTGCAGTACTGGAGATTGAACCCAGGGCCTCACACTTGCTAAGCAAGCAAGTGCTCTACCTTGTGTGCTGAACCCCAAACATCAGGACCTTTTATTAACTCCTAAAGGCAACCAGGATTGAAAGGCACTAGACTGGAAGATAATCAAAGTCCCTTCCCTCTCTAAAACATGATTCCGATATTCACTTTGAGCCAACTTGGGCATGAATACTGCAATCACTGTTGGATGGAGTTACACTGACCTGATGCCATCTCTCCCTCCTAAGTGGTCACTGTCATAGCAGCAGTGAGTGACAGAATTTCAGACCCGGAAGGGACCTCACGGGTAATTGGATGGGATTTTCAGACTTCCCTGAGGCTAAGAACACTTTGTCCAAACCAAATTTTTGTAAAGCATTTTGTAAAACAGCGAAAGCAGACCAGCTCCGTGACTATACCAGCCCCCAGCCTCTCAGCCCCAGTTTTGGTAGCTGCTTTCCAGGCACCTCTAGGAAGTCCCTAGTCTCTGAGATTGGAGGTTGCAAACATCAAGTTTGGCTGTCCCCAAGGAAAAAAAGTAGCATGGGAGCCTACCTTAATCTGACCCAAGTAAATTCCAAAGAGGGCATATATTTAAATGAGAAAGAAATAAAATAATTCAGAAGCGAGCTTAAGAGTATGGATCATATGTTAGGAGGAGTTAAAAATAAAACAGGCTCTGGTGCCAGTGACTCACACCTGTAATCTAGCTACTCAGGAGGCAGAGATAGAGGTTCAAAGCCAGTCCAGGCAAATAGTCCGAGAGATCCTGTTTCAAAAATAACCAACACAAAACAGGGCTGGAAGAGTGGCTCAAGTGGTAGAGTGCCTGCCTAGCAAGTGTGAGGCCCTGTGCTCACAGTCCAAAAAATACTTTTTTAATAAAATAAAAAACAAAACAGGAAACTGAAACACCATTAACAAAAAGACACACATGCTGGGTGTGATGACACACATCTATAATTCCAACTACTCAGGAAGCATAACAGGAGGATCTCAGTTCAAGGTTGGCCTGAGCAAAAATGAGAGACCCTATCTGACAAATAACTAAAGTAAAAAGGGCTGGAAGCATGGTTCCAGGGGTAAAGCACCTACCTAGCAAGTGTGAGGCTCTGAGTTCAAACCCCAGTTACCGCCCTGGGGTTTGAAAAAAAAGAAAAGAAAAAGACACACATATCTGACTAGATAAAATGACCACATTTTATATGGAAAAAGGTACTGTAATAGATTGAAAGACAAATGATAGCCTGGGAAAACATATTTGCATCACATACAACAGAAGGCAAGTTAATATCCTTCCTAGATCAAGCTCTACTTCATTCATAATGCAAGAGGAAAACCGCTCAAAGGGTATGAACAGCCATTGGCAGAAGAGGAAATACAAAGATGCTCCCCACTGCCAGTAGCCAGGAAAACACAAATTAAAGTAGAGCTGAAGCTGGGCGCCAGTGGCTCACATCTGTAATCCCAAATACTCAGAAGGCAGAGTTCAGGAGGATTGTGGTTCCAAGCCAGCCCGGGGAAATAGTGTGCGAGACCCTATCTCAAAAATACCCATCATAAAAAAGGGCTGGTGGAGTGGCTCAAGGTGAAGGCCCTGAGCTCAAACTCCAGTACTGCAAAATAAATAAATAAATAAATAAAGTAGCTCAGAGCCACGAGTGCCCATTCATGAAACATTGAAAAGACTGCTAACCATGAGTGCTGGGGAGGCTGTGGGAGACAGCTCTCGTGCACTACCTGGGCTAGTGTGAGTTCTTAGCTGTTTGGAGAATTAGAAGAGACATGTGACTTTTGAGTCAGCAATCCCACCTGTGGGATTTCATACTTGCAGAAAAGCAAGTACCTGCTCGTAAAGGTATTTATTCCAAATGACTAAGGCAGCATTTGTTGGAGGTGAGGGAGACAACTAAAAATGACCTGAGTCCTCATTCCACAGTGAATGGTCCAATAAATCTTAATACATCATCCATACCAAGGAATTATGCACCTATCAAAAAGAATCAGTTAGGGCCAGATGGGTGGCTCATGCCTGTAATTCTACCTATTCAGGAAGCAGAGATCAGGAGGATCTCAGTTCAGAGGTAGCCCAGGCAAAAAGTTATCGAGACCATTTCAACCAATAAACTGGCCATGGTGGTGCATGCCTGTAGTCTCAGCTATGCAGTAGGCATAAATCTGAGGATTGAGGTCCAGTCTGGCCAGGGCAAAAGAGTGAGATCTTATTTGAAAAGTAACTGAGGCAAAAAAAGGGCTGAGCATGTGGTTCAAGTGGTAGAGTACCTGCTTAGTCCTGAGTTCAGACCCTAGTATTACCAAAAAATAAAAATAAAAAATAAATCAGCACTGTAACTCTTCGCCTGGATGGATTTCCACAACATATGGTTAAATGAGAAAAGCAGTTTGCAGAGAAACATATGTAGCACGATCCCAATTTGGGAAAATAAACGACTCCTCTTCTCTCAGTGTGAATTCTACACGTGAGTACTGTGTGACTATACTTTATTTTATGAGTGCAAACTTTTAGTATTGCATCAGGATGCACTCCAGATGTAATGGAGAAAAAAGAGAGTGAAGTTAGGAAAAGGGAAATGAAAGACAATGCTTAGTGTAATGTTAACTGAAAATGTTAAATATAAACTCTTATTTATGATGCAACTGTAAGTGTATCAACATTGAATATGTCCCTCCACGAGAATTACAATGTCAGAACCCAACACAAATATGGAAGTCACTTCAGGATGGGCTCCTGAGCAAGTTTTATCTTGTTTCTTTTTTAAAAATTTAATACATTATTGATTATAGATTATGTGTAATCTACAGATTGATAATCAATGCAACTAATATAAAATTTTAGAAGGTCAAGGACTGGTGGTATAGCTCAGTGGTAGAGTGTGGGTTTAGGCCCTGGGTGCAATTCTCAGCACTGCAAAAATAAAAACTAAATTAGAGATCAATAAGGAAAATAGCTGACCCTGATTCTTCATTGTACACAGAGTGAAGAAGCAGTGTTTCTAGAGTCATCCTCTGGTCAGTCTTCCAGCCTCCCTATCCTTTCCTCAGCTCTGAGATCCTAGGGCTAATCAGAGACTTTAGACAATGACCTGGAACCAAAGGGTCTGGTGAAAGCACCCATGGCCTCCTGGCCTGAAAGAAGAGGAGGGGAGGAGGAGACAGGGCAAGAACCAGAAAAACTCTTTGCCCCAAGAATGGAGGGCCATGTGACCCAGGTGTGTGATTAAGTCCCCTCCATATTACCCACACCTCCAGTTCCAGGCCGCCAGCCTCACCTGTGCCGAGGGCAGGTTTGGAATTCATGACAAAGGCATCTAAAGCATAGCAGAGAGGGTTTATTCCTTGGCAGCCAGAAAGGAGAGCCCACCAAGCCACAGGGGTGCAAGAGTAACGGCTCTCATCCTTTCCCAGAGGCATCCTCCCAGGTCAAGGACAGGCCGAGGGCCACCCAGATTCCCAGTCTTTGGTTGGATTGACACATACTGTGAGTGACACTAGTCCCCAAGCCCAGCTTGCAGCACTGCAGCCTTCGTTGGGGTTCCTGCCACAGGGTCCCTCAGGCTTGCCTTCCAGCCCTTCCCCTCTGCTCCTCCATGCACCAGCGCCTGCCTTTGGGCTCCCTAGCCTTGCCAGCTCCCCTAGAATGCTCTTTGTCTCCCCTGGGTTTAGCCATGCTGAATTGCAGGCCGGACTACCTCCCCTGTCCAAGACCATGGCCAAGTCCCTTGACCTGGGCAGGTCTTAGCTTATATTCACCGACTGCTGCCTGCAGCCTCACAGACCTCCTTTCCCCACTCTGAAGGAGAATCCAAACAGAGGAAACCAAAGAAATCATTCCCACTGAAAGAAAAAAAAAAAAAACTTGGAGCTCTGATGAGAAAGGTGCTCTCCCTCTCCAGAGCCTATAATGTAACCCCAATCTAACTGTGAGAAAATAACAATTTAAGTTCTAAATTGGGGACACTCCACAGAATACCCACTCAATATGGCGCAAAGCTGTTAAAAGCATGAAAACTACAGTCAGAAGTTGTTAGAGTGAGAGGACATGGAGGGGACCCAACGGCTCACTGTCGTGTGCCGTGCTAGATGGATAGGGTCCTGGAACGACAGAGGGCGTCAGTGGAAAAATGGGGGAATAGTTGATACACAATAGATGGTGGATGGATGGACAGATGACAAAATGGGGAGGAAAATAGAGT